AAAAAAAAAAAAAAAAAGAAAAGAAAACAACAAAAGACAAAAAAGAAGCAGAAATCATGGAATTACTGTCGATCAACTCAGGTGTCTCAAACTGCAGGACAGTGTCTTTGGTGTCCTCGATAAACCTGACGACCCTGGGTAACATACTCCCCAGACCTGTACTTGTAATATCCGGTATCAAAACACCTTCGTTGTATAGAGTGTCTATGGCCGTGAAGTGGGGGAAGCCTCGGCTGCTGTCTACAATGGAAGTCTTCACTGATGGGATGAGCATATGGAGCACCGAGTACATGGTCTTCGCCGAGTATTGTTCCTGCTTTATTTCGGAAAATGCTTCATCTCTAGGCACATACACATCGGATGTGGGGCTCTTTGACTCAGATAGTGGATCTGAGTAGGATGTTAAATTCAGACATTTAGTAGAGATTACAAACCAGAGGAAAAAGAGAAAGTAAAAGAAGGTAAACACGCTTTAGTTTCTTGAGCTACCGATTAGCTACAAAAATTTCTAAGAAAAAATAATATTAATTACTTCATAATGTTTTGCTTACCGTGATATCACGCGATTACCTATAAAGAAAGAATATTTAACACATGAAAAATTATCTACAAGAACAATCTTTATTACATATTCTCATGCGATATTACTTATGACTCCTTTGACATTTTTATAGCTACTATAATATACTTTCCCCATCTCATTTCAATAATCTCATTCCTTTTTTTTTTCGTTAGTTACAGGATGGCTGATGTGAAATGGAATTTAATTACCTACATAATTGAGCGATAGAGGAAGGGAACCTCGTATCAATCGGTACATACCCTTGTAAAGGATGAACATTACCACTCGGGTTACAAACTCCTCATACAGTCTCATTTCTCATATTAACATATTTTTTAACTAATATTCAATCGGCATCACAAAATCCTAACAACTCTATCGTCCTATAATACTCCTATCTGACACTAGTTACAGTATTGGCTTTCTCAGAAAATAGGGTATATATATATCAAAGACAAAAAAAACTGAACACAATACAAAGAAACTAACAGTCAGAACTATTAGCTCAGCATTTTGACAAACAGTTACTGTGCGTCCCAACAATCTTCAATTAAACTGGAGAATTACAAGAGCCTCGGGGTGTGTGTCTGACCTTGTTTAGATCTTGGGCGGCCAGTTCTGCCGCGGCGAGGGTAAGGATGGTCGGGGCCGCCGAGGACGGGGCGTGCCAGGTCATCGTCGGCGTCGGGATCTCCGAGATCGTTGTAGACATCGTAGTCGTAAATCCTCTCGAAGGTCTTGCGCTCACCTTGGCCGTCGCCACGTAGGATGATCAGCTCTTTCTGTCTGTGTTTTATCAGCCCACTCGGAGTTTGGGATGGCAGGTAAGACTACGCCCATCATTCAAATCAAATGTTAAATTTGATTATCATGTAAAAAGTATGTTACGAAATTATTCTCTTTTTATGTACATGATAAAACTAATAATTAATAGTATAAAGCCATCAACTAATATAATTAATTTCAATTTCCTTTTAATTTCTCGGCATCTATAGAAGATTAGTAGTGCTACAGCATCATCCGTGTATTACGTATGTTAATTGAAATTTTATATTTATTTTTTTTGCACCGAAAAAAAAAAATTATATTTATTTTTTAAAGAAGAGTTTGTTTAAATTTTCAAATACATTTTAAAAAAAATATTTTTTTATTTACAATGTCACTCGCAAGATTTGCTCATTCTATTTTATGATAATTTTGTTCATATTACATTAGTGTTGTAAACGAATCGAACCGAGCTTGGACTGTTCGAGCTCGTGTTCGTTTACGTTAGAACAGTGTTCGTGTTGTTCGTTTATTTTTCCAACAAAAAATTGTGTTAGAGTTCGTTCGTTTAATTGTTCGTCAAAGTTCGAGTTCATTCGTGTTCGAATAATTTAATACGTAAATTTTTAAATATGTTTGATTAACTCGAAATTTGTTCGTTCGAACTGGAAAATAAAAGAAGAAAATAAAAATATTTTTATATTTTAGATTTTTTATTAAAAATATTATGTAAATATATAAAAAATAAATAATACTATATTAAATTTTAGATTTTTTATTAAATCTATTATGTAAATAAATAAAAATAAAACAAAACTATATTAAATTAATGTTCGCGAACATAATCGAGCATTCACGAATGAGCTTTTGTCGAATACGAACGAGCTCGAACGAGCTTTTGTTCGCGAACGTTCGGTTCATTTACAGCTCTATATCACATAATAATAAACTTGAAGATAAATTTAGTTAATAGTCAATATTATTATTATTTTCCAACAAGGTTATATTATGAAAGTAGATATAAGTTTTTTATATGCAATGCTGTCATTAAATGTTTAATACGTTTATAAAACTTAAAAGTTTTACTTTGACTACTAAGAAACACCAAATTTTGATAAAAAATTGAAATTATGAAATACCAAAAATTGAAGGGAAATGTTTGATAAACTTATAATTTTCAATACATTTTCAAAAAAGATAATTTTCAAAGGTAATTTTATTTCTCAACTTTAATATATAATCAAAAATATTAGAGACTATAATTAACATTAAGGACTACAATATATAATCAAAATTATCAGAGACTATAATTAACATTAAAGATTATAATATATAATAAAAAATTAGACATGCATAATAAACTCAATCCAACAAAAATACTTATAAAATATTTCTTGAAAAATCATGGAAACACTTCGAATAAATAAATTCAATCCAACAATTGTGAAAATATTTATAAAATAGTTTCTGAAAAACTATACAAATACTATAAAATAATTTATCAACATTCTAATAAAAGATTGATAATATTTCAAATAGTCTTTCTAGAAACATCAATCTATAATAACTAATTATTATACATAACATATTTAAATTGAATATAAAATAATATTGGGTCAAATTTGTAAAAGTTATTATATATGGATGTGGTATTGAAAAATGATAAAAATTGATGTAAAAGAGAATATTCCGAAAATATTTTGAGAATATTCTTTTGAGTTTTAGAATGAATTTATTGGTTGAAGTAAAATTACTGTTTCATATGACAATTACTGCAAAATAAGTTTAAAATTGTTTTTTTGTTGATATGATTTAATGGGGTGAAAGTGATGCCCCTTATAAACTTAGGCTATGTTTGGTAGACAAATAAGCTAGCTTATAGCTTATTTGGTTAGCTTATAAGCTTCATGTTTTCAAATAAGCTCTGTTTGGTAGGACGAGCTTTTTTAAAAAGCTCGAACTTATTTGACAAGCTTCTTTGGGTAACTTTTCAAATAAGCTGGTTGAAATTTTTATTTCAGCTAGCTTATCAGCTAATTTTACCAAACACTTTTATCATATAAGCTAGCTTTTCAACTATAAGTCATAAGCTATAAACTATAAGCTAAAAAATTACTGATAAGCTATAAGCTAACTTATCAGTTAGTTTTACCAAACATCGCCTTAGAACATTTTTTATTACCTAGCACTTTAATAATTTATTTTTATAAACTTAGAACATTTTTTATTACCTAACACAATAATAATTTTTTTTGGAACAGCACATAGTAATTTGGTAGATCTAATCTAATTTATCTTAAAAATGTCAGGAGCAATTACGAGAAACAAATAAGAGTAGATTTTTTTTTTCATTTTTCTTTCTTTTTTTTTTAGTAGCAATAAATGTAGTAGATATGTCAGGTTGTGTAGGTACACATGACCAAATCTGATTCCGGGCCAGGTTTTGGGTCGAAACCGCCGGGTTTGGGTTGGAACTGTCGGGTCCGAGCTAAGGATTGGTCGGCCCTAAACTCGCCCGAACATATGCACGGACTGGTTCGGCGAACCGGCGGTTCCGGGCCAGTTCGGTGAACCACCGTTTCCGAGTCGGCCCAGTTCATTAAAAAAAAAAAGAAAAAAATAATGAAAAAATTCAAAAAAAAAATAATAAAAAACCAAACAAAACAAAAATAGGGTCGAAGCGCTGGGCCTGTTTTGAATCAAAACCAATACGATGGTTCAAATAATGCATATATGGACCTAAAATCAGCTCGGTCAAACCACAGACTCGGGTCAAGGCTCGTTGACCACGGGCCGATTCCAAGTCAGGTAGGCCTGTGGTCATGTCTACGTGTAGGTCATCTCATGGCATCATGAATGCAATATTAGATACTTTAGTCTAATCTAGCAAGAAGAGGGTTGGTACGTAGCATTAATTTTTATTTAGGACCAATAGGTATCAGAGTTTAGTAAAAAAATAAACCAAGAATTACTATTTATCCTCTATTGCCCTTAAAAAAGGGGAGTTTAATAAAAACGACAAACGACAGATAGACGTGTCGTATCACGTATGAGATGTTTACAGACAATTAAAGGTCCCCTCGTAGTGGCATTTGATTTGAAAGTGACATGTAATTTTTGAGCTTAAGGTTGGGCAGCGGGAGCGGGTGATGAACCCGGTCTAGCTATTGTAAGTAAACAGTTTAATGGGTTATTATTGTTGAATTTTTACAATAAGTATGAGTATATATGTAAAAATTAGAAAGGTTCCTATTGCATTTATGTTGGTGCTAAAATCAAATTCCATGTACTATATGAAATGTAACAAAATATCTCAAAGATGTAATGTCTTTGATAAAAACTATAAGTTAATTAACTACAATCTTATGCGTTTGTTGAATTTAATTAAATTTATTTTGGTAGAACGAAATTTTAAAAAAAGATACGAGTTTATCTCATAAGCTTATCTATATATAATTTTTCATAAGTGAATTGGATTTTTTTTCACTTCGTCTTATCAGCTACCAACCATTGTTATTGTGTCAACTAGTTTTCAACTCATACCTAAATTATTTGTTATTAGCTCAAAATAACTTATGAACCATCAATTATAAGCTAACTGCTATAATTAAATTATTAAACATAACCGTGTTGTAGATAAAGCTCAGACTAACCTTGTTAGTGAAAAACAACCTATTTTCTGGGTTGTCATATTTGGAATGAACCCATGAGTTGCAGGTCACGTTAACAGAACCACTCGAAAAACCTTGGAATTTGACATCTTTTACAAACATTTCATTGTGGTGCTCATTCTCTAAAACTATCGCCCCAATTTCGCCAAAGTCTTCAGGAATTTTGAATTTGGCCTCATAGTAGACCTCGTTGTCATCGTTGCTAACCTTATGTGCATATGAACTAATGCTCGGTTTCTCTTGTCCAGACTCTAAGAAAAAATACCGAAAATAAAGTTATAAGTCATAATTATTTGTTAGTAAAGTATAAATTAATTATACATGTATCTCATATCTGTCATGTTCTACTTTTTTTTCTTCTCTTTTACCAAAATCTAAATTTCCAGAGACTTACTAGGTTCAAGCTCGGCTGCAACAAGCTCGATAAGAAGCGTTTTGCCTAGCAAATCAGCTATATCATCGAGCCCACGGCTAAGGCTCAGGTGGGACAGCACACCGCCCACCGGCTGCAGCACGGTCACCACAGCCTTCACGTTCGTCGTATTTCCGGTAGTAACTGCCGAGGGTGACAGTGAGGCTTTCACGGAAGCCCAGCCATGCTGCCGCCTGAGCACGTGCTTTTTTACGGCCGGGAAAAAATTTTGGCCGGAGAAAATGAATGTTGGAGACGGCTGGGCGGACTTTGCTCCGGCGGTGAGGAAAGGCTTGGCGGGAGGCTTGTGCAGGCTGTGGTTCAACATGTTTTCTGTGGTTATTGATAAAATTAGTTTTTACGAGGAAATGAGGGTAATTATAATTTATAAAGGCGTGGGGAGATTAGGAAGGTTAATTTCGTGCATGGCTACTAATCGGGGGAGGGATAGAGATTCTCCGGCCAATTTCAAATAATGTCACGTTTTTTCTTTTTCTTTTTTTCTTTTTTTCTTTTTTTCTTTTTAACTTGTGCATATATATTGTGGAAAAAGTAATATTAAAGTTATATTTTAAAAATAAATGTTTGACTAAACAAACATAGTATAATTATCTTTTAAAATTAAATGTTGGGCAATGGCATATGCCGGTTCTGGCTCGACACTTGGCTTGGCATCCAGCAGCCGCTGCTCTCTGTCGCCGTGGGCGACATTCCTCCAGACCTTTTGTCGGTCGCAGATATTGTTGACGCGAATGGCGACTGTAAGTGGAGCATGTTTCCTGCTTGCTTCCGACGACGATTGTGTTGCGCATAGCTGCGGCCTTGTCGCCACAAGCCCGCCGGATGGGATCGCCTGGTCTGGGGGTTAACTAGTAATGGGAACTTCTCGACTAAGTTATCCTATGATCTATTGGCCGGTCATGAGCCTCATGTTGTACGCCCCTTGTGGCGGCTTCTGTGGCGGACACCGGTGGCTCAGCGTGTTCGACATTTCCTCTGGCTTGTTGCTCGGGACCAGCTACTCACCAATGTGAAACGCCGTCAATGCCACTTGGTCGACTCCGCGAATCATGCAGTGTGTGGTGCGGTGGAGTCCACGCTTCATGCCCTTCGGACCCCTGTCCAGCACTCTGGGGTCAAAAATCGTGAGCTGACACCCCGACCTCGACTCGCCAGAATAGTCGTGGGAAATTATTGTTGTACGAAAGATAGAGATTCAGGTCGGCATCACATAGTCGACGGTCGGTCTGGAGACTGACACAACTATTACTAAAAGTTCGACCTCGAGGCACTATAGGGGTCGGAGTTCCCAAAGCACAGAAGAAGAAGAAGAAGAAGAAAAAAAAAAAAACTTCGTAATAATCTCACTTGCAGTCGAATGATTGTCAATGGGACATGCATGTCGTCCCTACAGACCTACAACCCCTAGGTCTCTAGGATAGCATGTTAGCATTAAATGATTGTCATTCAACATTAAATTGACGTGACCCTGACGAGTAGTAATCGAGCATGCCTTACTATAAATACTCCTAGGAATCCATTTAAGAAGGGGACTGATAAAAAATTTCCGCTAGAACAAGACAAAAATTCTTATTTAATACCACATTTAAGGCTAAGTCCGACCTCAACTGCTCGAAAATCCGACCTCATTAATATCCATTGTCATGCAAATCTTTTATTAACTTGATTTTTACATCTTTAACCTCTTCTGATCCACACTAAATTTATAATTTTATTGATCAAATCCATTCATCAACACAGTACGAGCGAGTTATCCGGGCAGCTCACTCGAGCAGTCTTGAACAATAAGGTAACATCTCTCTATAAAAGGGAGTGAGATATGCCCTTTAGAATAGGACACGGACTCTCTATACACTTACATATTGTTCATCATCTTCAACATCCTGCTAACTTAAGCATCGGATGTTCTTCATTGAAAAACTCCTTCAGTGTCGAGTTTTTGCAAGTCTTGAAGGTCGTTCGCCAGCAAGGAACCCGGATCAGGTCGAAACCGAGCTGGTCGAGGGTCATTTCATTACCAAGTCCCATCATTTGGGTGTGGAAAATTATCATATTGCCCTTAATGAAGGTATAATTTTTGCTTTTTTTAGCTGTTGGATCATCCGATCTGACGACTATAGTATATTATCAATTCTTTCACTGATCATCATTCTCGTCAGAGCATGAACCTGTATCTGTATATACATATCAACTTCATATTTTTAAAATTTAGTCACTGGAAGTAAATATGAGGCACCCTTGACACATTAATATATATATATATATAAGTTATTATTTTTTATATAGTAACTATTTCCCTCCAAAAAAAATTATTTACTATTTCAGTAAATTAATTTAACAATTTATGGTATATTTCAAATGAACACTTATGGAAATTGCAACTCATTATTTAAGGAAGTAATTAAGTCATACTTTAAGATACCTTAATTACTCAAATCATGTGAATTAATTAATAAATGGTATATAGTGGACGAATTTATTTTTGGTATTGATGGTTGTTTCTATAGGAAATAAATTATTTAATATATTTGATAACTATTTTTTTTTTAGGAAATTTGTTGAAAAACTAATCAATATACGGTGTACTTTTTTCAGTAATGCGCAAGCTAATATATTAATTTTAGGCGTGGGTTTCAATTTTTTGTATAAAATTAACATAATAAAATTATCGTAACTCCGACAAAATAATATAAACTGTTATTTTGATATAATGTGCGCGTATCGATATTTTTTTTTTATAGAAAAAGCTCTAGTCAAATTTTTTTTGTATAATTAGTGGGTCTCGATTTAATTCATTTTTTATTACGACATTTCAAATCATTTTTGTGTGAAATGCACTGTTCATTTTTTTGGCATGATAAAGAGTGTCGATTTTGCTGGCATAAAAAATCTTATGACTGATTGCTTTTACTCAACTACTTAAATTTTTTGATTTGGATATTTTATACTAAAATAAATTTATTTTAATTAATTAAACAATGTAAATTTTATATTTTTACTTATTATTCACATAGATTTTTAAATATATGATAAAATTTCACCAAAATAGTTATTTTATGGAATCACGTTATACACAAATCGAATTTATGAATAAAAATTTTGAAATGACACTTATTTCGGAATGATATAACGTAATCTATTATAACTATGTGCAACGCACGGGATGTGTACTAATTTTAAATAGACATTTTTATGTAATTTTGCACAATTCAAATTTTATATATTTTCAATAAATTATATAAGTACATTTGTTTCTAATTTATAAGTATTATTTAATGAAAATTTTTAATTTATAAATATTAATTAATATCTCTTACATGAGATTCCTGCTAGTTATAAAGGTTAAAGGTTTGTAAATTGGTAGAGCATGTTTGTTTATAAAAAATTTTGGTTTTTTGGTTTGGTTTGGTTAATTTTGAAAAAGGTGGTATGGTTAGTGGTTAGTGGGTATATTAAAATAATATTTATAATAAAATAATTAAAATTGATTTGATATAAAAGTAGGAGGGAGAGATTTGAAGTGATGGTTAGTTAAAATAATGTGAGTGGATGAATAGTGAATTAAGGTTGATGTGATGTATATGAATGATTGATTGATATTATTTAATTATATTGATAATTTTGATAATAGTGATGTTGAATTAAAATTGAGTTAAAAAAAATGGTTGAGCTAAAATATGGAAATTTTTTTGAAAAATTCTATAAACAAACATGCTCGTAATGTCTTATTAGTTGTTTAGACGACCAAAACTTGATAGTTCTCATAAATATTTTTTTTTAATAGCAATGCATTTGGACATTGTCTATTGCTATATCTTTATCATTTTCATCAATCCAAATTATCATATAGTCATTGTAGTATAGTGGTCCATATATATAATATATTCATTTTACATCTTATCAATTTAATCAATCAATCAATCATTGTACTAGAGTGGTCCATATATATATATTCAATCGATTGGTCTGATCGTACCAGAGTGGTCCATATATTCATTTTACACGTGTTATATTTTTTACTCATCAATCTCACCGTTCACAAATGACAACTAACCCTAGAAAATGCTTATTAATAATGTCTGTCGATTAATAGTTATATTCTAATTAATGTATATAACGTATGTCGAGTAATTTGTGGGACCCGATCTAAAGATTTATTAGTTTTTCACTCGTCAACTTATAATTTAATTTATTTCATCTCAGAGATTATTGTAAATGGTTGACATAACTGTCGCATATTCAACCTAGAAAGTGTGAAGGTTATGCGAATGTCTTTGCATTTTTAATTTTCGCACAATTATCGCATAATGTCTTTCGTACTTTCTACAGTGAATAAATTAACTTATAATCTAAGGGTGTGAAAAATTTATTCAGTTAGTATAAATAATTATTTCCTAGTTTTGGTTTGTAATGTATGTATGATTTGACCATATTGAACCAGCTATAATGCCAGGAAATTAAAGCCTCGATTTTTTTTTTAAACCAAAAATTTATATAATTAATAATTACGAAATATAAGAAATAAAAATTATAAATTATAAGAAGTGGATATTTAGACTCAAAAAATTATACGTTTATTTATAGAAAGAAATTATATTTTAACGTATTCAAGCAAAAAAAAAAAAATTGCATGAATCACGATTGCCGTTCAGACTAAGACGATTGTTTGATGTGACGTCTATAAAAAAAAATCTGTAAGTAAAAACATAATTTACTTGGGACCGCAATTGAAAATAATTAATCAAATTTCTTCACGTGATGAAATGTTTGAAACTTATTAGTTTGTTTTATTTCCTTCATGACAATTTTTTCCATTTTTTGTTTTTATTTCCTTTTTCCTAAATTATACAAAAATGACAACTCTTGAGAGCAACTATTGAGATAACATACATATTAAATAAATTATATAGAAACGTTTTATAGTCGTTGATATTATTTTGAACTATCGATTTTATTCGTTGTATTATTGTACGCACTTTGATGTGAGAAAATTTAAATGGCTGTGCGAAAATGAAAAGGACAATATTATCTCATCTTTTTCTATGCGTCGTTTTGTTGTGATATAATTGGATTGGCTGTGGCCTGTGTGAAAGGACGATTTTCATCTTAAATTCCATTTCATGTACTAGCCACACCGACAGAATATTAATGTCTATCAATTTTAATTGACATACAATCAAAAAATTATTATTAGTCATAAATAAAAAAAAAATGAACTTAATTAATATCAGTTCTAATTACGATACAAATTTAAAAAATTATTAATGTGGAAGAAACCTTATGTATACAGCTAATGTGATTAAATATTCCCGTAAAATATACATGTAATACATGATTGGTATTTTTTAAAAATAATTCCTTCTTTTATTCTCTTAAACTTTCGGTATATATATTTCTAATTTAATTTCTTATGAATATTGTATCCCACGAAATTATATATGTGTGTAGTATGTATATTTAAATTATTGCACATGTATTCTTAATAAAATTATTTTATACTAAAATAGCGTAACTAATCAGCAATCATTTTTTAATTTTTATCTTTCAGCCTTCTTATATCATGAAATTATATGGTGTTATATCGCTGTTTGCGGTATATTTTATTCTAACAAATACTATTGTTTTTCATTATTTTGAATTACTCTTAATGTCGAAAAATAATTTAGTAACACATTTTTTACACAATTAATATTTTTTCACTGTCTGTAGAGGGTTAGCTTTTTTTTTTTCTGAAATGATATTAAACAAAATAAATGTTATTTTTGTATCATTCTAGAGTAATTTAATACAAATATATTTATCCAAAATAATATTTTGGTACAACTCTAAAGTTAGTTTAGATATATATATATATATATATATATTACCCTTTGTCAAAATAACATATCTCAATAATAATAAAATAAAATCAAATTAAGAAAAATAAAAGAATAATAAAATATTGGAGAGTTACGACTCTAGAGCGACGACGTTGAGGTTGCCCTACGCCCAGCCTAGCCTTGAGGTTGCCCTACGCCATATCGCATATTATGTCTGTTTAAACTACCATTACATAACTATAAAATGATTCTATTGATATTTTTTTTCAAGCTCTTTATTTTATAATCAATATTATATTTTTTATTATTATTCTATATCTCATAACATAATTTTCTTTAAACAATTAGTTAATTAATTTTAATAGAATAGTCGAACCACTTTAAAATTTTATAAACAATTGTTGCTATAATAATAATTTGTGCTATAATAATAATAACAATGTTATTATTATTGTTGTTATTTTAATATTTATTTCAATTAAATTAATTAGCCATGATTCCTCAAAAGTATAAAAATTACATTATGCACAAACTTTCTCAATCAATATATATAGTATTTCGTACATGCTTAGATAATTTACATTTATATTGTTTTATTTTTAGTAATGATCATCAAATTTTGAAAATATGATATATCCATTATATAATTTATAATTGTAATATTATATTCTCATATATAACTTTGTAACATTTTATAACATTGTGCATGTACACAGACTTATTACTAGTTGACAATCAATTTTACAAAATAACAATAAAATTAATTTTGGAATATAACNCATCTCTCGCATCCGTATAATATCCACTAAATATTTCTCCATTTAAATACTCTTCTTCATTCATTAAACTAGGACATTAAATGTTGTGGGATCCATTAAATGAATTAAAGTATAAAAATTAAAAGCAAGTGACAAGATAAATAATATTTTTTAAATATTTTGACCTTATATTTTCTCGTTTAATGACATTCAATGGAACTAATGGCAACTGTGGAGCCAAGATTTTTTTCATTTAAATAATTGAACTATACTAGTGTGTACCCATGTGATGCACGGAAATAATATTAAATTAATAATATTATAAATAGACCTCGAGTTTGAGTCACTCAATGGCGGAAGTGAAATCTACTATTGATCCTATTTAAAAAGAGGAAGAAAAAAAATATAATTATAAATTAAAGAGGAGGATACAATACTTAATAATTATAAATTAAATATTCGCGTAAAATTATTTTGTACAAGAGAATATAAAAAAATTTGATTACACACCATTTCAAAATATTATTATACTTTTTTATATGGTTAGCTTATAATATTTGTAAAAATATTAGTAATTAGGCCGATGAAAATTAGCTTCTTAAAGTAGATAATGGTTTTTTATGAATGAGTTACTGTTTTATTTTATTTTTCCTTTTTAAATATAATAAATTTCTAGTAGTAATTATGAATTGGTTTCTATTTTATTTTATTTTTTCAAATATGTATAGATAAAGGATAAGATTTTTTAAGCACGAGACGCATGCAATGGGATTTTGTAATAGGAAAAAGAAAAACAAATATTTATTGTCAAACAACGGTTTTGATAAACTAAAAAATAGGAAAAAGAGAAACAAATCTTTACACAATTAATGAGCCGATTTTTTTGTCTATTCAGAGCCAACAATTACTATATGTAGGATATATTTAATGATTTTGGCGAGAAAAAGTTTCTAAATTTGTAAAAAGGTTATTCTTTTTATATAATGATAGATTGGTACTAATGGCGCTACGTTCTATTTAAATGAATATAAATCTCACAAATGCGGTGCCCTAACTCCCTATCATGACATCATTCAACACAAAAACTTTCATTGAAACACTATTTNAATACTATTTCACAAGGGTTCATTCATTTAAATATATTTATGTGAAGACTTTCAAATTTTAAATATCTTGCGACACATTGTGTTGTAAACATGTGGAAGTGCGGCTGGATATCCTAAATGTCATAGTCACTTGTTATAGTGGCAAAAGAGATGACATAAAATGTGATATAGTAACACTGTCATGATCCTCTATTAATTTGCGCGTTTTATCACTTTTAAAATCGACAACTATTAACCTTACACACAATTTTATAATCTTCTATGTCAACCAATTATGTCAAAGTAGCTTAGTCCAAATGTCATATGTGAAGCTATTTAAATGGAGAATTCGATATTTGGATCCTTCATTTGCATGTGGGTGCAGTAGCACCCATGCAAGCACAAATTTATCCAATTTAAATGGTAGTTAAAAAGTTATAAGATTTGTACTTATTTGTCTTTTATCTTTTTCTTGGACCCATTGGTCCAGTTCTCTTTGAAAGAGTCATATGGCAAATTATTGGACTCTGGTGCAAATATGTGGGTCCCTGAAAATAATTTGGGAAAGTTTGGCATATAATAATTATTACCGGTCTTTCATCATTTCGCAGAACAGACAAATAATTGTAGGTACAACATGAAATAAATCCTCCAAACACACTAGAATCTTATTGCATTTTTATTGAGATTGATTTCTGGGATACGAAAAACCGTTGCAATTTTATTAATCTCCAGGGCAAATGGTAAGGTGGAATCATATCTTAAAGTCTAATTGATTATAAAAGATAAAGACTCCATTTTGTTCAACTTAACATGTAATATAATATCTGGACGATTTAAATCGAGATGCTGTACGGCACACCTTGCCCCGTCACACCAGGCTCCGAAAACGGCTTCAAGAGCGTGTACGGCACAACTCCAGCCCCTGCCCTATTCATCAGCTTCAAATCCGCATTCCTACCGTCAATAATCCCTTCAATCTCCTTCATCCGACCACTAAACCTTTCAAAAGCAGCGTTTATCACTTTGTCAGCAGCCCAACAGGGCTCGATCTCCTCCCCCATATACTCCTCATCTGGCGAATGGTTAGACAAAACGTCCAGAATAGCCATCACGATTGTTGCCTGAGCTTGCGAAGGGAAGCAATTCAGCAGAAACTCTTCAGGCCTCTCGAAGAATTCCTTTTTTTCTTCTTCGCTCGGGTTCTCTGTGGGCATAGGGGTTCGGGCTATGGTGGGCCTGTTGGGAAAGTAGGCTCCGTAATCGAATTGGCCGAAGTTGACGGCTGCATGGTGGCCTGAGGTCACCCAAATGATGGTCGTGAGGATGCCGATTAGGTCCTCGGGAGTTTTTAGCTGGGGCCACCAAGGTTCGTCTTTTTTGTCCCCATGACCTTTCTGTTTGATCTCTGTCCACCATAATTGGAGCTCGTAGTCCGATTCTATGAGGTTCGGTTCTGTGTAGTAGTACGTGACGTAGTCTGTGACCCACTGTTTGATGGCGTCCCATATAAGCAGACCGTCGTTTGCGTAAGGGTAGTCTTCGATTGCTAGCTTTAGGCCGTGAGGTTCGTTTGGATCCTCAACAGCAATTCCCCTAGAGTTACACACACACACACACACACAAATAAATAAATAAATAAATAAAAATAAAAATGAAAGAAGGTAAATTTATGTCAATAATTGCCTGACAGTGCTCAGCCGAAGTTTTAGGTTTCGAGTTCTCCATGAAGCGAATTTTTCCTCTGGATTTTCCAGGGACTTCTTTGCTAGATTTTCTTTATATATTTGAAAAGATAAAATGTGATTATCCATATAGAATGGTTTACCTGTTGATCAAATCAGCCGGTAGTGCCTGTAGGTCAAACTGCCATAGCTTATCATAGGCGACGGAGCTCAATTCTATGGAATACTTGCCCGGGGAGAATGCGGACTCGATGATACCATTGCAATTGATGAGGGCCTGACGAGCCAGAGCATTAATCTCCATCGTGTACCGAAAATGAGGATGCAGCAGTCTGTAAATTGGGTGCATTGCACTCAGATGTCTATTTGTCGCGATTATGTATGGCTCTGTGCAACAATGAGTACGTAACCTGCAAACGAAGAGATTAACATTGTCAAAAAAAGCATAATCGAAAAGTTGACATTCTCTTACCCTTCTCAACTAAAAACATGAGGTATAATTGTAAAACAATTTACAGTCTGCGTAAACAATTCAAAGGTAAGGAAACAGAAGATATAGGAAAGGTATATATAACTCACCAATGACTAACCAACTGATGAAAACCAGAGTCATGAGCCAGAACATGGGCCTTAGCCAGCCTCCATAACCAGATGGAAGTTGGGTTCCAACATGGCACGTAAACCTCCTTCCACTGGGGCTTCTCGTCTATCGGAGGTCTCACGAGCTCGATGGCCACGGGCCTCAACACACCTTCAGGCATCAAGCAAAATAAAGTCCTCGATCCATAAAAAGTAGTCCCCTCGAGCGCCCTTACCTTGTTCACGTAAGGCAAGAACACGTCGTGGTAGTCTAAAATGAACAGCTTCTTTTGCTTCAATGCCTACAGAAATTTGGGATCTGGTGGAAAAGATGTCGCATTGTAATCATATCTAGCTTCTCATTAATTGGTGAGATTATATATACCTCGTCCACTGTAATGAAGCCTCCAATTTCTTTCTCGACCAGCTCCGTTGTGATTGCCGATTCAGCGGGTCCATAAATCTTAGGGTCGAGCTCGCTTTTCAGTGGCCATTCCTGTTAAAAATTATTTGATAAATTTAGCAATTGTGTCGACACTCTACACGAACATATTATATGACTTATAACTCGGAACTAACAAGATAATTGGGTATCGAGTATAATTAATAGCTATACCGTAACCAATTTGATGCAGCATGGATTGACACCTGCTAGAGTCTGTCTCGCAAACTCAGCATCCCTAAACCATGCAAACTTATCTCCTGCAATTATAACAAAAAAAGAAGTAGTTCCACACAGAAAACTATACACACAAAAACAAACAGGGGAAGGGGAAAATAAAAGGACAAAAGAGGCAGAGTTGATGGAATTACTGTCGATCAACTCAGGGGTTTCAAACTGCAGGACACTGTTTTTGGTGTCCTTGATGAACCTGACGAGCCTGGGTATCATATTCCCCAGAAATCCAGTGGTTGGAATATCTGGGAGCAGAAATCCTTCGTTGAATAGAGTGTCTATGGCCGTGAAGTGTGGGAAGCCGAGAGTGCTGTCTATGATGGAACTCTTCAGTGATGGGACGAGCGCATGGAGCACAGAGTACAGGGTTTTAGCAGAGAACGTTGCCTGCTTTACTTCGGAAAATACTTCGTCTCTAGGGACGTAAAACTCGGAGCTCCTCGTCTCGCTTAATGGATCTGAATTTGAGATTAAAATGTAGACAGACTCTCAGTAGAGATTTAACTATCTAGATATTCGATTAAGGACAAAAATCCATTATGCGAAGAACAACATGGTTCAGCTCGGCATTTTGACAAACAGTTTCTGTGCGTGTGTATGTGTCTGACTGACCTTTCTTAGTTCTTGGGCGGCCAGTTCTGCCGCGGCGAGGGTAAGGATGCTGGGGGCCGCCGAGGACTGGGCGTGACAGGTCATCATCAGCGTCGGGATCTCCGAGGTCGTTGTAGACATCGTAGTCGTAAATTCTGTCGGATTTCTTGCGCTCGCCTTGGCCGTCGCCACGTAGGTTTGTGAGCTCATTCTTTCTGTATCTTACCAGGCCGCTTGGAGTTTGGGTTGGCAAGTATGTCTGGGCCCCATCATTGAAATTAGAAATTTAATAAAATCAAGTAATAAAAATTAACTAACTTAAAAACATTAAACTTGAGAATATTAGTTGAAACGTTTTGTTTTTATCTTATATTATTAACGAATATAGTCATTTTTTTTACTCTTGAATTTGTATTTTATACACAAATATTTATATACAAGATTAAATTTGTTAATCTGGTAATACCGTTGATATTTCTAATGTAGCCGATAATTAATAATAGTCCCACTGTAAATTTATTTGTCGTGTAAATTTATANAAAAAAAAAACACAGGTATGGGGACCAAATTATATTCTGTGGTTTTCACGAGAGTGACCAAAACCAATAAGGAAAATATGCTGGTAACCACCTTGTCATCAGTGAAAAACACTCTATTTTCAGGGTTGTCATACTTTGAGTGAACCCATGAATTGCACGTCACTTGGACAGAGCCAGCTGGCAAACCATCAAATTTGACGTCTTTTACGAACATTTCTGTTCGGTGCTCATTCTCTAAAATTATTGCCCCAATTTCTCCAAAATCACTAGAAATATCAAATTTGGCCTCATAGTGAATCTCGTTCTTCTCCTGCCCAACCTTATGTGCATAAGCGCTAATGGTTGGCTTCTCTTGTCCAGAATCTGCGAAAATCATGATAAATTAATGACAACTTTTTTTTTTTTTTGGGTACAAAAATTAATGAGAACTTTAGTATTAAATATTAAGTCATAACTTACAACAGACCGCACTACTAATGACAGGGTAACAAATAACTAGTAGTGACACAAACACTCACGCATTACATCTATATATATATATATATATATATATAGGATGTGGTTCAAATTAGAACCAAATCCTAACGTGAGAACTGTGAGAACCGCTATTTTTAATTGTATGTGGTGCTATGATTGATTGAATTTAGTGCTATTTTTAATCAGAATGTATTATTAAAAATAGCAACTTAGCATTTGTAAAAATGATAGTACCATGTAAGATTAAAAATAGCATCATACACAATTAAAAATAGCATCAAATATGGTTCTCACGGTTCTCACACCAGAAAAGGTTTTTATTTGAACCACTCCCTATATATATATATATA